TACTTTTTATATTTTTAACGTTAAGTTCACATTATTTTACATCTAAAACACGTGTTTACAATACATTTGGGTGAATACAATAAATAGAAAAAACACACACACATCATGGATCATGGTAAAATCAATACATTCATCGCTCCGCTCAGAATCTAAAAGATATACTTTGAAGACTTACAATATTATATGATTTAAACTACTTATTATAATTTCCATACTACCAATATATCATATATCATTTTTTATTGATCGATACAGATTCGTGCTTTAAAAAAATAAATACAATATCATGTATAACGGGATGTATACATTATACGATGGTTAAGTCGATTTAAAACACAATTTTTACCGTTCGATTTTTGTTACAAAATGCATAATATTACAAATAATGACGATATCTAGCAACAATAACTTTTTTTAGATTTTCATGCGAATAACAAAAATGTAATAATCGGCACTATACAATATACATATTATTATTACATAATATATTATACGCTAATTGTTGAACGAAAACAGGCTGTTAATTTGTTGTAAAATAGAATTCAAACCTAGTAAAGCCAGACAAATAAATAAAAATACGTTGGGGCGTTTGTCATGTACCGTAGGATGAACAGAATATTTTTCGTCACCCACGCACCATTTGAATAAAGCAAACCTCACCCGTTGCAAACTACTTTTTAGATTATTGCCCTATAATACATATATTCAATTCATATATAATAGTAATTATTTTTGATAATTTATAATGCCTCTGATTTTTCTGTTGTAAATAGTTAGATCTTAACTGGAAAACAAAGTACCTATACTGAGTTCTATCCAACTATATACTTAAACCAGATTCTATGGATTGATTTATTGATTAATAGAAAAAAAAAATATTTGTATTGATTCGCTGCAGCACTAAAAAAATAAGTAGTTATGCGACAAATCTTTTTAAAGTTCTCAGTGGATATATTTTAAAATATGATACAGTTTTTTTTATCGCTTCTTTCATTAAAAAATAAAAGAATATTAGTGCGTATGTTTCAAAATGTACCAACAATCTAATAATTGTTGTTTTTTCAATTATAATATATTATAGGTACATAATATTGGCGCAGTTTAATTTATCACACAATTATCATACGGCTACCAATAATTTATGTACTTATTACGCATGAACCAGAATAATAATTGTTCTCTGACAAACGGTAGTGAATAACATATTTATCGGTTGACAAAGACATTTGTCGGCTCTGCACAAAGGAACAGTGATATTATTTTTTATATACTATTTTATTTAGGTGCGTTTTATTTCTATGGGACGTCGGCAAAGAGTTGAAGCACTCTGCTGCAACGCTGTATGTATACACAGTGCTTCAATATTATTCATTGTTTGGATATATTTTTTTTTAATTGTGATTGTTTCACGTTCACATTTGAATAGTTTAATGAGGCACAAAAATACATTGACTTTGTTTGATTTTTGAAAACGGGACGATCTACACTGCAAACCATCAATATTACGACTTTTTTTACCAAACTATGTGGTAACCTGTGGTTACCGATAATTATTAGGTACGGGTTTCGAAAAATATCTGAACACTCTGTAGATGTAAGTGCATACACGCCGCAATAAGAAGTAAATATGTAAATGCATTTAGGTTGTACCTATATCGGATACGGGATATTATTATAATGTCATGAGTAAAATTGCATACACAAGCCGTATCTAACCGGCATATGCCGTTGTCAACGGTATGTCGGTATATAACACTTTTATAGACACGATTCAAATAAATATTACATTTTTTGCATGCATGATAACAATGATAATATATCAAAAATTGCATAAGACTGCATTTATCCATAATCGTTAAATTGATATTGCAAAACTTTTGTTTAAAACCACTTATTATAAGTATATAGTAACTCGTATAGATGCGCATAATATTGAAACGATTTCTTTTATGATTTAGTTTACACGTCTGAAGTTAAGTTAAATTTAAAATGTATCTGTAAAATAAATTAAGTAGATATGTAAATCTTTATGTACTATAAAAGAGTTGAGAAATAATAATTTCTTGATATTTCTTTTTATAATCAGTTGTGGATAATGAGTACAAATTATATTCATAAATTAATTTAGAATTTTTTAATTCTGAGTATCAGTAAATAAACGTTAAAAATTTAAATATGTTTATTCATAAGTAGTAATATAACATACATTTCTAAGGAATAAGATTAGAATATTGCTTATTATTTTTTCTCTGATAACTGTGTTAAGCTACTAATATAATATAACACTGAAATTGACGAAAATGAACAATAATATTATCCTAGAATTCAAAATATTTCAATTAAAAACTTTTGCTTATAGCTCAACAACCATCTCGAATTCTCGTATCATGACTTATCGTCAAAAATTTTTCATAAAATAATATAGATACAAATTTTTTAATATATAAACTCATATACTGTTATTCTATGAGCTATATGATATTGTTTCTGGTGTGTCACATTTGTGTTGTCGACGATAAGTCGATAACAGATAAAGTGTACCTACTTTCTGAACACTATTTTCCCCCGATAAATGAATTTCTAGCTTCGGTTAAAATTTTGAATATAATGTCAAAACTAATAGTCAATCAACGAATTTAGAATATTAAACCAGTTTATTAAATATAAAAAATGTTATGAGGTATTAAAAAAACATTTGTAATTAACCAATTAAATACTGCCACCATTATATACAACTATATGCCGCTGGGTTTGTTCGATTATTAACTACTGGATGAGCATACCAAAATTAATTAGGAATATTTTAAAATATTGGTACCTATACCTATTACTGAATAAAACCAAATCAGAACATCAGACCATAGGTTTAGTTGCTTCAGACGAATCATGAATTTAGTTACACAACATTAATCATTATATTAAATTTTCGACTTGCGAATGAACTAATATTCTAATATGTTTTCATTTTCTTCTCGCATAACTAGGTAAAGCATTCGATATCACGTACATCCGACTTCTGTTTTATTCGCCGAGGCCCGAGAGTTTCGCGGTGTACAAGAAAACTACAGAAGATGGACCGTGGATACCATATCAGTTTTACAGGTGAGTGCATATACTTAAAAATCGGTCAGTATACCATAGATATTATTGTTAAATAGTAAAAATGTTTTACTATTATTTCTTATTAACAATAAGAACAACGCGTTAGGTTCTGCGAGTAAAATAAGATATGCAATAATAATATTTAAAATAAATTAAAACAGACGATTTTAGTATTTTACATCACTTATTCACTTATATAGTTAACTGTATAATATGATTAATAAAATCATTTATTGTTATTATTATTCTTGAGTTTTTAACCTTAAGTTATATGAGATAATTGTGTTCATTTTATTTTCAGTCAGAGTGCATAATAAGAGGTCTAAAAAAAAATTATAGTTTTACGCTGCAACTCATTTATGTAGACCGGTTAAATTACCTTATGCATATAATTTTATCTTGTGTATAATCGATAGTTTTGTTTGCTTTTAGTGGGAGTTGTAGAGACACCTACGGATTGCCAGACTTGAATTATATCCGTCTTGGTGAACAAGAGACCAGGGCGTTCTGTACTTCCGAGTTTTCAGATATTTCTCCATTAACGGGAGGAAGTGTGCCATTTTCCACACTAGAAGGTAGACCATCAGCAAAATTTTATGATTCAAAATCGGAATTTTGGGTATGATCAATTATATTATGTCTTTTGTAGTTCGTAAGTATAAATGTAAACATAGTTTATCTAAATGCCAAATGACTAATTGTATAATTGTTTATATTCGGTTGAATATTCGTAATTCGTATTAAAAAATGAATAAAAAATGTAGAACTAAATACTTGATAGAAACATAATGTTTACCTACGTATTTGTATTAACAAGTTTTCGATACCATAAATTTACCTATAATATTACAATATAAAAGTTGAAACATTAATAATATATATTAGGTATTGAATCTTAGTAATATTATGTGTTCATATTTTTCAAAATTTGAAATCAATTGTTTTCAATTTATAAAGCCAGTATCACTAAAATAATTTAATACAAAATTAATGAAATTTTTTTTAAACAAATATTAATTTAATAATATAATTTATTGTCGTGTTAAAATTGTTGTGAACAACTACAACTAACGACGGTATTATCGATTTTATATTAAAGACAGGCAACTAAACGTACTTCTAAGGTTTTATCTTTTAAAACTCGTTTAGATTGCCTATATCGAGTCCCTTAACATAAACATTGCTATTATAGCATGCCTCGACATTACTATTGCATGGTTAAAAATATATAATATTAAATTCGTTTGTTAATTATGTACTGTTTTAACGACGAAAGTCTATAAATATCTATTAAAATTATATGTTTAATCATTATAAATATTTGTTCACGATATTTTGTTTTGTTAAATTTATATTTTAGGATTGGGTAACCGCAACAGATGTCCGTATCACGTTAGACCGTTTAAATACATTTGGTGACGAAGTATTTGGTGATCCTCAAGTTCTGAAGTCATATTTCTATGCTATTGCTGATTTTGCTGTTGGAGCTAGGTGACTAATAATAACTATACTATAAATTAATTGATGCTACACATTATGATTAAATGTTGAGATCATCGATTACATTAGTTTTAGATATTCGTTTTTTTTTTTTTTTTTT